TGATAGAGTGCTAGACTTGAGCCAAAGAAGCTCAGGGACAGCACCCAGGACCTGAGTTCAAGCCCCAGGACTGGCAGAAAAGAAAGAAACAAACAGAAAGATGGCTGATACGTACAGGTTGCTGAACTCGGTGTTGTCTGCCCACTTCCAACTATGCTGTGGAGATTCTCTTCTAAGGCCAATCCAACGGTCATACGAATCTCTGTGTCTTTCCAAGAAATTCTGTAATCAAACACAGTAAGTTGAAAATATGACTACTTACCTTTCAGATTTTTTTTTCTTTTTCCTTTTCTTTAACCAGGCCAGGGGCTTGTTTTGAAGTGTGATCTCACCTCCTGAGTAGCTATTTATTAGGTAATTACTTCTTTGTATTTTTCTTTTCATGTGTATGTATATGCCGGTACTGGGGCTTGAACTCAGGGCCTGGGCACTGTCCCTGAGCTGCTTTTGCTCAAGACTAGTGCTCTACCACTAAACCACATTCCCAGCCCTGTCCTTGAGCTCTCTTATTCAAGTCTTTAACACTTGAGCCACAGCTCTCCTTCCAGCTCTTTCTGGCTGCTTAACTAGAGAGTAGAATCTCACTGAGGTTCTTGCACAGGTTGGTTTGGAAATCACGATCCTCAGATCTCAGCCTCCTGAGGAGCTGGGATTATAGGTGTGAGCCACTGGCACCCACCCTTCATTCTGTTTTAGCTTCCACCTTACACAACATGTCCAATTTCAGGGTGTCTTTTAGCATGTCACAGAAAAGAGGAGCCCCAAAAGCATTTCTTACCAATTCCTCCTTGCTGTCAAACTTGACCAGATTGGCATCAAAGGATGCACAGAAGGCCTGACTGGACGTCCAGTTCGTTACATTATCAGAAAAATAATAACACTTATTCCCAAATCCAATCCAGTCTCCAGGGCAAGAGGAAAACAGCCTTGTTTCGGGAATGCGGCTTTCTGTTGGGTTCACTAACACACAGACAATGGATTAGCTGCTCATCAACCATTCCTTTCCCTGCCCAGACCCCAGGCCTACCGCACATTCTGCATTGGAAGCCACTCACCTGCCATAAGCACAGCAACAAGTCCAAGTACAGTTGCAAGCAGAACAACATTAATGAGCACAGAGCAGTAAAATTTGCTGCGTGTGATGGGTGACAAAATTCCTAGGCATTTTCCTGGGAGATCTTTCACTGAAAACATAGAAATAGGAGGTTTGAATCTAATGAAAGATGTAGAAGGAAGACAGTCCCCCATTCATGAAGCCCTGGGTTTGATTCCTCAGTACCACGTACACAGCAAAGGCCAGAAGTGGCACTGTGGCTCAAGAGGTAGAGCACCAGCCTTGAGAGACAAAGCTAAGAGACAGCGCCCAGCCCCTGAGTTCATATAATATATGAGATCATATAATATATGATATCTGCTATGAATATGTCATAACATATGACATACTCTCTAGTATATGCTCTCATTAATATATACTGTGTATAACAAGATATAACAGTGTATACTGTATTACACTAGATAATATTACACTATATATACTTTTAGACTACATACTATGGTCATTATGTTATATATGATAATTTTACATACATATTATTTTTTATCTTATAAACATTACAATATAAGATATATTATATAAAGTATAATATACTCAGATAATATACATATTATTTTATATAAGATGTAATATAAAAGAATACTATCTACCATTTATCATATATTATACTATATGATATGAAGTATATTTAACATGAAATATAAATATATGTAATGAGATACAAAAATTATAAAATTAAAAACAATATAAAATATAACATTATGATATATATTTTACAATTTAAAATATAAATTCTATGTATGATATATAGTATATCATATATACTATATGATGCTATATTATATATTATATAATATAGAGTACATATACTATATATCATAGTATATATGCTATAGTATATTATATATAGTATGTAATGTAGTATATTATGTTGTTAGATATGCTATATACTGTTATTTGGTATGATATATTGCATAAAACATGTGCATGATATGATACATGGTATACTCTCTCTCTCTCTGTATATATATATATTTATATATATAAACACAGTGAGCACTCTTTATGTAAGTGTTTTATTGTCACATTAAACCAAAAATACAGGGACTCCAGCTGGAATGGAGTCTGCATGCATTCTTTCTGGAAACACCAATGGCCAGTATGCCTGTTTACCCTCTTCACCGGTTACCTTCCACATTTACCCAAAAGTCATGGGCACCTCTGCCTGCACACAGAAGCTTCCTGCAATTTCTTTTGTACTTACTCTAGCCCCTCCCTATGTTTGCTTGATTTCTGCCTCTCAGTTTAAAGCAAGCACTAGAGCATGAGGAAAATAAAAGCCCAACACCTTGTTTTCTTTCCAGAATCTTAACGAGAGGACTAAATTTACTATTGAGACTTCCTTCAAGAGATCAACTGGTGAAAATTTAACTGTGTCACCCACAATTTCCTGCTACCTTTACTCTCTGTGTCTCTCTCTGTCTCTGTCTCTCTTTCTCTCTCTGTGTATACTAGTGCCTTGAGCCACAATCTATTTTTGCTCAGGTTTGCTGCTTGACCTCTACAGCCAGGAATTGAGCCCAGCTAGTTGGTGATTTACTGGAGGTGAGTCTCATCACTTCCCCACCTGAGCTGGCTTTAAACGATGATCCTCAGATCTCAGCCTCCTGAGTAGCTAGGATGACAGGTATGAGCCACTAACTTAACTGTAATTCTTTGCCTTTATAAGAGAGTAACAGGGGATATTTATATTTGGCATTATGGGTTGTTGTTTTTTCATTTTCCCTTGATACACACTAAGTGTTTTTCTTCTACTTTTGTTAGTTTGGGTAGTTTTGTCTTCCCTTCCTATGCCTCTCATTCTATCCTCAGAACACAGTCACCCTCAAATTCTGTTAGAAAAGAGGAAAATTGTCTCCTAAAAGAACAAAGAAGTTAGGTACCCATGGCTCACATCTGTCATCCCAGCTATTCAGGAGGCTGAGATCTAAGGATCACAGCTTGAAGCCAGCCCAGGCAGGAAAGTTTATGGGTCTCTTATCAGAAATGAACCAGCAAAAACTACAAATAGAGATGTGACTCAAGGGATAGAATACCAGTCTTCAGCACAAAAGTTCTGAGACCAAATGCAGGCATTGGTTTCAAGGCCCAGGACCAGCACACAGACAAAACAAAGAACAAAAAATGACAGGCTGAATTTATGACACCTTTGGGTAAGCATTACCCTTTGCACTAGGGTTTACAATGTTTGCTAAAGGTGGAACTTGCTGATAACCTAGTTTCTGCTAGGACAACAAAATGGATTTTTTTTTCCAAATACAGAACTTTCCCCTTCTGGCAACTGATCTCAATCAAAAGGGAAAAAAAGTCAGAGCTCTGTCTCTGATTTTTCACATAATTCTCTTTGCTGAAGAAAAACAAAACAAACCAAAAATCATTCTCCCCAAAACTATGTAAGTATCATCTAAAGCTGGGATTTGCTTCTTACAAGCAAAAAGCTCTTCCCAGTTTTGCAGACTTGTGTGTGTGTGTGTGTGCATGTGTTGTGTGTGTGTGTGTGTGTGCATGTGTTGTGTGTGTGTGTGTGTGTGTGTGCAAGTCCTGGGCCTTGAACTCAGGGCCTAGGCACTGTTCTTAGATTTTTTTTTTAAACTACAGGTTTGTGCTTTACCACTTAAGCCACACCTCTGCTCCTGGCTTTTGCTGGTTAATCAGAGATAAGAGCCTCACCGACTTTTCCTGCCTGGACTGGCCTTAAGCAGTGATCCTCAGATCTCAGCTAGGATGACAGACATGAATCACCAAAGCTCTGCTTCAGGACAAATTCTGCAAGGGTTGCAGTATACATTGCAAGATTATGATGACTAGTTTGCAATCCTGCCCCAGTGCCAATGAACTTAGGCACCAACTAATCTGTGAAAGAGAAAAAGAGGAAGAAGAGGGAAGAGGCGGATGAGGAAGAAGAAGGAAGAAGAAAGAGGAGGAAGCAAGTAACAGAAACACACCTCTGCTCCCCTCCAACCCACTTCCCATTCATCTCTAGCCACAACAATGTTACCCCAACTCAAGTCACACATCCCAGATCCAACCATCCCTTCCTCCATCTGAGACTGAGCTGCCTTTGTGGCAGAGTGCAATCCTAAGGAGCCTGACCTGGAATTGTCTGCCTTGGGACTCATGAACGGGGTTACCTGCTTACCTGCTTTCCTGATTTCTGGGTCCTCTGCGGAAGAGAAATCTCCCTGTAACATTCTCACTGAAGTTTCCAGAGATATCATTTTTTTTTCCTCCTGGCTCTTTTTAGGCAGAACGACTGGAGCTGGTATTCATGGATGTAACCTTGGAGCTGGCTACAATCATATCAGAGCTATGCAAACACATTTCCTAACAGCCAGAGCCCTTTCCTGGTTCCTAGCCCTGAGAGAGAAAAGAAAACAAAACCAACCCAGGAGAGCAATTAGGATATGAATAATTCATTACAAATGACATGATCCATAGGTTCAGAATGAATTTTACAATGCCCCATTGCCTCTAAATTTCCACCCATTTAAACCACACATTCCAGAATAGAACAATGGGAGGGGGAGGAGAGTGGGTTGGTGGGCAGGGAGAATTCCCAGCTGAGAACAGTTGAAATAATAATAATAATAATAAATAAGCTGGGCACCTAAACTGAGATCCAATTTTTCAAAAAAATAATAATGAAGCTGGACAGACAGCTGATAGGCTCAGAGGCTGAGATCTTATCTTGAATATCTGGGATCAAAGGGATTTGGACAGGAAAGTTTGTGAAATTGCTCAACTCCTTAACCACCAAAACCTCCTTAACTGCCAAAAAGTTATGTGGAAGAGAGGTGGCTTCCATGGTACAGTGCCAGCCTCGAGTGGAAAAGCTCAAAGATAGCACACTTTAATAATAATAATAAAATAAATTAAAAATAAAAGCAAAAAAAAGACAAACAACACACGAAAAATGAGCCCACAGCAATAAATTCCTAAAGCATGAATTGATAGGAGTTTGACACAAATAATAGAGTTGCCTGAGAAAGAAAAGAACAAAACTGAAAAAGCAGATTCTAACTACTAGTAACAGGCACACAGCTGTGAGCTGGAGAATGCTCAAATCCACGGGTTATTCTAAGGTCAGACGCAGGACAGCTCTGCAAACTGGCCCAGAGCAGAGAGAAAACTGCTCAAAACAGTCAGTGTAGCACGCAGACTCAGTACTCACACACCTGAAGAGAGTCTCACACAGCATAGTCGATCTCTAGAAGCCGATCTATGCCATAGAAACAGAGTAAACCCCACAGAAATAGCAGATGTGATCCCGCCCAACACACACCCAAGCTAAGTCCACAGGAAGTGCAGATAACGACTGCTGCTTCTAGTTGTGCAAGTTCCCCAGCTCCTTTGACCACAATAACAAATAAATTTTATGTAATATAAATATATGCATATAATATATACGTATATATTGATAACATATTTTAAACAAAATGTAAACTTAATGAAAGTGTGGGCTGCATTGCAGATGTAGCTCAACTGTCTAAGCCAGTGTAAAGTCCAGACTTCAAAGTCTGCTACAGTAAAATGAAAACACAGCCAGCATGGTGGCTGGTATATAATAATAATAATGATAATAGTAATAATAATTGTTAAGTAAATTAAATTGGCAGCTGAGCAAAGAGAGAGCAGCACATGGTAGTCAGTGAAGGGGATGGTTTATTTTCAAGCACAGCAGGAATAAAAAAGATGGAACCACGCCGGGGCAAGATCCAAGGGCAGGGGCAGAAGATGTGGCCACACCAAATACCCAAGTGAGCACAGGGAGGGAGGGAGGTGATGGCCTCCATGGGAGCCAGTTTCACCTGTGGACCACAGCTACTGGGCGGAGTCTAACCAAGAGGAGGGAGGGGTCTGCTCTGCCTTCCCAGGGTGGACCTTACAATAGTAAACTATAACCTTAGTCATACCAAGATTGATTTGAAGAGCAGAAACAAAGTCCAAGTAAACCATTAATAAACAAAGAAAAAGGCACTGAAGTAAGAAGGTCAGGTGCCATATTGGCTATGTGGTGGATTATAGG